AACGCTGAGTGCGGCCGCGGAGGCCCCGGGCCCGCGCAGCGGCGCTGCCAGCGAGAGAACTGCGCGTTCTACGGGCGCGCCGAGACCGAGCACTTCTGCTCCTACTGCTACCGCGAGGAGCTGCGACGGCGGCGCGAGGCGCGCGCTGCGCGGCCCTGAGCCGCCCAGGACTGCTTTTTTTCCATCCTGTGGGTCTTTTTTTACTTGCTCTGGTCAGCCGAAGGGCCGGCGCCTCCTCGGTCAGTGCCGTGTACGTGTTTGGTCAAACGTTCCTAATGGTGCCTGAACCTACACTGATGCCACTCAGGTAGTAGACGGATAGGAAACAAGTCATACTGTTGGAAGTGGGTGTGCTAGCCTAGCATCTGCCTCGTACCTGTGGAAACTCAATAGCCATTGCAAGAGTATTTTTGTTCCTCTATACGAGAAATAAAGAAAATCGCAGCCCTTTGTTTTTAGAAGGGAGTGTTTTACATGCTTTTTTCCCCCCTAACCTAGGGACTGACCTCTTCCAAGTAGCGGTCACTTGCGTGCACTTGGTAGCACGCAGGGTTTAGAGGCAAACACGCAGCCCGGCCTGAGGTGGAGCCTCCTCCGCGGCTCCCACCTGCTTCCCACCTGGGTCCCTGGAGACCTCCAGCAGGCACCTCGCTACCCGCTGACGCTGGCCCCTTAGGACTCCCCAGCTCCATCTCATAAGCAAACCCTCCTCCCACAGCCCCCCTATCTGTTGGTCCAGAGTCCATGAGCTTCCACAAGCTCAGGTCAGCTGTCTCTGTGGGTTTCCCCATCATGACTTTGCCACCCCACCCCACCCCCGGCTCGAGCAACATTCACACTGCCATCCAAGCCGCGGGCGACCACCGAATGGGGCACCGGACAACCTACCTCTCAGGGCACGGTGAGGTGTAGCGATCGCTCCCAGTGCCGAGCAGCTCCGGTGACAGGAGCTTCCCAGAGACACTTGGGGGTGCAAAAAAAGCAGGGTCCTGAACTCACGATCGGATCGGCCCACCTATGAGCCAGCGTGACAGGCTGCTCGTGTCTCCTCTGAAGACATATGTACAGTGCACTGTCGCTGGAGGGCCCCTTAGGAGGTGATATCACATCCGTGCCCCAGAGGAGGGGACATGATTGACCCCTTGGTCACTGTGTCAGCCCCCATCGGGCTGCTTTGAACCCAGCCTGGCCTCCTTCCATAGGGTAGGGGCTGAGAGAGGCCGGGAGGGAAGGAAACCACCCCTACCCACCTGCATCTGTCAGGGTTCCCCCAGGTTAAAGGGCTCTCTGCTGGTGGAGACCCTTCCCAGGGCAGGTGGCCCTGCTCCTGCCCCCATACCACATTGAGGGAGCAGCCCAGTCTCTGAGCAGTCTCCTTTCTGGTGCCTCCTACATTTCTTGAGGAAAATTTAAAAAATAATAATGTGTCCTTAGCTATACCCTGTTTTGAGCAGCAATATGCAGCCTCCTTCCAGATTACCTCTGCAGACCACTGTTCTTGGCCAAGGACACTGAGGAGCTAGCCTGCTTCACTAAAGAGCGAGCTTGCTTCCAGGAAATATGGAGAAGATGGGTAAAATCCTCGCTAACGAAACAATACTTTCATACCTGTGAGAGCTTTAGACTAGCCCCGCCCCCATAACCCTAAAACAGGAGAAAGCACCTGCTTATCCTCAGAAAGTGCAGGAAATGGGTCACACCTTCACTGGAGCCAGCCTCTCCTCCTGAAAGGATGCTTCATCCCGTGACATCCAGAGCAGCAAAAGCAAAAAAATAAAATAAAATAAAAAAATAAAAATTTTCAAAAGATGGGGAGGGAATTTTTTTACCTGTTTGGAAAATGATAATAAAATAACTGAGTATCTCCTGTGAGTGATTCCTTTTTGTTTTTAATTATTCCACCGCCTGTGGAGTTTTCAGTAATGTATTCAAGTTTTGCATAAAGTGGTTCCTTAAATCAAAATTATTTATTAAATAGACTCTTTAAGAAGTTTTTCAAAGTTTTATTTTCGTGTTGAACAAAATGCTTTAAATGTGTGGTAATAACTAATATTCATGTCCCTGATAGTACTGGAGTTTCTTTTGTTACTCAGAAAAAAAAAAAGTGATTCTCAAAAAAAAATCTCTCAGTGAGAGGATTTGTGGCAGCTTTGGGGGGCTGGTTTCTTTTGAACATATCACCTGAATAGGTGTTTCATTCCCCAAAGCTGTAGGTCACAGAAGCCTCTGCTTCTCACAGAGTGGGCTACTTAGCTCACCCCTCAAATCACCCCACCAATGTTTCCGTGTGTGTTCAGAAGCCCAGTGCATAGACAGACACAGGAGACGGAATTGCATGCTTGCCTTTCTCATGCTGTGATGCTAAAACGGCCAACTAGAAACTTCCAAAACTGGCTGTGCAAATCTTTTGTCTTTCTCATGCTCTCCGCCAGATGGATAAATAAATGAATAGATAGATAGATAAGTAAACAGGGCAAATTGAGAATTAAAGTAGTTTGTTGTAATAGAGGGAACCCTCCCAAACAGGGTAGTGGTTGTGCGCCCTTGAAGCGAGACAGCAGACTCTATCTCCTTTATTGCCAAGTCACTTCTCCCTCCCCCAGTCTAATGATGAATACGCCATGCGGAAGAGCCTGGGGCACAGACCCAGACCACAGACTTGCTATCCTGGGCAAATCAAAGGCCCCAGCCCCTCAGCTTGGTCTCATTGGGCTACACAAGGTGGAGCACGGGTTGGGGCTTGCTCCAAACAGTCCATGTGTTTAAGCACAGCCATTGCCTCTTGAGAGAAAGGCAGCTTCTGCGTGGTGTTAGAAGGGCGAAAGTGAGAGGGGCCAGTGTGGTGTGAACGTGTGGCTTCTGTGTATCCACAGCCTGCTTCATGTTGCTCCAAAGAGCTGGCTGCTCTGCTCCCTGGCCAGGCTTAGTGGCTGGAGGCAGGAACGGGTGGGTGGGCCCAGTTCCCTAAGGTCTCTCCTTGACTTGGCAGCCCTTTGGGGACAAAGGGGGCGGGACAAGAAGATGGGGAGTCCCAGCTGCTGTGTTGAGAGACACTGCCTGTACCAGTAGTGAGCAGGGTTCCTCATCTGATCTGGCCAGACTTTCTGAAAGGGGTGGGTATCTCTTAGCAACAGCAAATGTACAGAAGAACCCCAGATATTCCTAAACCCCTGTGGAGATTATTTCAGAAGATTAGTTCACATTTCCTTCACATGCATCACCTGGGGATGATTTTTAATCATATCACTTGGGCAAGGGAAGCAGTTTTTCAGTGTATTCTGTTTATAGACTTCATGCACCGTTCCGTTCAAGTTTTACAGGCCAGATTTAAACTGTGCTATAGAGGTTGTTCTTATATGAATCTCAGAATGTGCCACAGAGCAATGCCTCACACCCTTAATTTCACAAGGGTTGTCCTTGGAAGAGTAAGCCGGGGTGGGATAGTGGAGTCTCAGTGCTTTTGTGTGGACCTCTGAGGCTGGAGCTGTGTAAATTCTTCTCCCCTTTGACTGAGCACTTTGCTTTCTTCCGTGAATGGGTTCGTGGTGCTGCATCATTCTCGTGAATGAAAACTTGGTCACGAAGTTACTGTGTCCCCTTCCTTACCTGTTAGTACCCAGTGCCATTTGAACCTGGTAGCTTATTGTCATAAGTAGCTCACCATAATGGAAGATGAAAGGACCCACTCCAGTGCAGGCCTCAGGGTGTGGACACCCCCGTGAAGTCAGTCCGTCCGTGCCCCCAAGTCTCTGGGGCGGGGGGGGGGGGGGGGAGCTCTACCCACCGCCTTCCCTTAACATCTGTAAGTTTATTTTGCAAACTCCTCTAACTGTAAAAACAGACCTTTCCCATCAAAATATAGTCCACGTTGATTGAAAAAACAATGACAGGGTAGGGTTGTAGATATCAGTGTCGGGGAATTAGTGAAAGACAAGAAAAGGAGAGTGTAATGGTTCTATTGTGTGACCCTTCATTGTTTATGTCAAGGCCTGGAGGTTCCTTTGTTTGTGACATGCTCTTTGCCCCTTGTCATAGTGGAGACTTTACATATTCGATTCCTCCAGTGTTCTTTTCTTCCAAGGCTTCTAATAAGTGAGAAAGTATTTTGGTGGCCAAGTGAGCTAGCTCTGGCCTTAACCCTCTTTGAGAAAGAGGAGTGGCCCGGCCTCCAGCTGAGGATCTCTTGCTCTTGTCCTTTGAAGAGAAGCACACGTGAGAAATCCAGAGGCAGAGGCGGCCAGTACTCCTGGCACCAGGAAGCCCCTTCCCCAAAGCCTTAAGTAGCAGCTCTGCAGACCTCTGAGCACCTGCCTCTCTTTGCTAATGTCACTGATCCACCTGGATGTAGGTCTTCGGGGCAGAGACCTCACTTCTTGTTGGCCTCAGATCCTCCCTGTTGCCCAGGTCTACAGGGCAACACTGGTTCTGTTGGCCTAAAGTCTGCTTCCGAAGTGTTGCCTTGTTCTCCCAGGACTGGGGCCAGGGTAGTTAATCCTGGAGGCCTTAAACTCCACGGTGATGCTGAGGGATGTCCCACCCCAGACCTCCTCAGTGAAGAGTGCCTCTAAGGAAGACAGCTCGAAACAATAGACAAGATCTTCTATGAGGGTTTCCAACATGGGGTGAGCTATACCAGCAGTCCACAGGCTGGTGCTTTCCCCCACTGCCATGCAGAGAAGAGTGAGGGGGTCACTCTACAGAGATGCCTGAGGATCTGCAGGAGTGCATAGTCTGTATGGGTGGGTATCATGTAATGACGGGATGCCCACAGAAGCCATCATCCCCATAGAAAAGATGACTGTTTCTAATAATTTTGCAAAATAATTTCATTAAAATTTGCATGTTTACTATTTTAATTTTTAAAAAATTTAAAAACAAAGTCTACAAACTCTATGTATAAATGAAATGATGCACAATGCTATACTTTATTCATCCTGAGAATATCTCAAAGATGTGTATGTATATACATACATACATATATACATGTATATGTATACATATATTCTGTTTAACATAAGGTGAGGAATATACATTGGTTTTAAGGGTGAATATAAATGGAATCTGCTCAAAACCAAAGCTATGAAATCAGCTATTTCAGAATCTGTCTCCACATTCTGAAGGATGGCTTTCCATGAAAACTCAGTTTCCCATAACATAGCAAGAGTCACGTCCTTACAAAGCCCATCCTGGCCCAGTATGTTCTTAGCCAGAGACTGGGCCATCTACAGTTACCGGGCACCCTCTGGCCTCCAGGCCTTTGTATACATTATTCCTTCTATTCTTCACTTCAGCAAGGCCTTCTCCAACTTCCTTATTGAAGAAGCTAATACATCCCACCCTTCACACCACGTTCAGCTTCCTCTCACAGCCCCTGGTCACTGCACATATCAACTACCCATTTATTCATTATGCCACAGCCCCCAGGTCCCTGTAGAATGGAAGCTCCATGCAGGCGGGA